GGTGGGGGGGGAGCCCCCCTTTGCGCAGGGGCCGGATGGGTGCTGGAGGAGGCTGCGGGATTTGCCTGCGCGGGAGGCAAAAATAAATGTGCTATTAAAACCCAGAAAACCTGGCAAGTAAGTCTCACGTTATCAAATAACCTTCCCTGCCATTGCTGAAGAGTTGCAGCAGCCGAGCAGCGCTCCTCGTTACTAGGAGGGCTGCCTGGCTGCTCTAACTCCTGCCATATCTGCAGTGGATGCTATTTGATAACCTAAAACTGGGGTTACCATTAGGTGGCCCGGTGGTTTAATACATGCGGCTGTTACTACTTTGAGTACCGTTCTGCTCAGCCTGGTCTGCCCTCTAGATGGGTGATTTAACACTCGCTTCTGTTGAGCGTAAAAGGTCCGGTGCCGAAATAATAGCACAAGTGTTAAAACGGGGTCAGCTGAAGAACTGCTTAGGGCAACCTGTGTTTATCTGGCTTTTCTCGGTATTGCTAGTTTTTATCTAGGTCAAGAGAATGAGTTACTTAAAAAGAAAAAAATTGTGAGGTAAGATGTAAATTCTTTAATTAAATGCGTTGAAGTGAAGAAAAAATAACGTGTGTATTGAAGTGTTCGTGCGTATTTGTCAAAACGTTCATTTGTTGTTCATTTAAACTGTTAATATATTTGCAAAATGTTTAATGCGTATAATTACTCGATAGTAAGTTGCTAAAGTATAGGAATGTAAGGCTGTGTCCTGTCTGTGTTGTTTAGTTTGCTCCGTATGAAGGGAAGCAATGAGAACACAGTTCTGAAAATATTCAAATATGTGTATGTTTAACAACACAGTTGTGTCAACTTTAGTTTGTTGCATACATGCTTTTCTGTATACAGGAACTTTGTGTGTCACTCTTGTTGTTAAGAAAGCTCTTCATAATTTCCTTTCCCTGTTTAGGATGGGGAAGCCAGAGTTCTAAAGTACATATACATCATAGCACATGGCTTCATTTTCCTGGGCACAATTTACGCTGGATACTGACTTTCATCCTCTTGTTTGTGCTGGTGTGTGAAATTGCAGAGGGCATAGTGTCTGATGGGTAAGTGTGTGTCTACCTTCTCCTGACAGCATGAAGTATTTTAAAGGTTTCAGGGTAGGTATTTTCTCCCTGTCTAAATTCTCATCTCGACCATATTCCTTGTGGTTATAAACATGTAACCTGTATTCTTGGTGATTAACCTACCGACCTTGTATCAGAAATTCCACAGACCTTGCCAAGTTATGTACACATGCACAACTGACCTTAATCATTTTTAGTTCAGCTTAATGACACTGTCTTTCCAAAGAGTAATCATAGATAAATCCTAACAATTCAAGCAGATGGTGACATTTTCATGATATGTTTTATGTCCAAAGACCCAGTCCCACAGTCCTTACTCAGACAGAGCTCCCATGTGCACGGTAGGTCATACCATTCCCTCGCAAACTGAGTTCTGTTCATCTTAATAAGAGGAGTAGATCTACTGGGCCTTATCTCATGCCCCATGGAGTTTCTTCTGATGTCTGTACATCTGATCTGTGGCCTCGAGCAGAGCAGCTCACATTATATGAGCATGATCCATCATCTGTTATTCAACTTAGGATGTCTTTAAACAGTAATCTGTGGGGAAAAATTATTCCAAGTGAAGCAAGTGATAGAGTGATTTATCATGAAAAAAGCTAATGTTGTATAACAATGGCTATGATCATCTTCCTCTGAAGAAAGGTCTGATATGCATAGCTATTTTCAACCCAAGGATTATAAAGTTAAAGCTGGTCGTTAAATAGAACAAAACCTCTGTGTTTAGCCATCTATGTAACAACTGTCTGCCAGCCAGTGTGAAAGGCACTGCAGTATTCTGCTGTAGAAAGTGATATAATCATTATTATTATAACTTCTTTTAAACATATATAAATAGGGGGATGTTTCTCAGTGCCAATTTTTTTAAAAAGGAATTTTTCTCATGCCTATTTAGAGTTATCAGGGTGTGGGATGCTCAGAGCAAAATCTCCTGCTTTGAGTTTTTTGTTTTATTTTGCTCTTTAGCAATCCCTCTCATGATGTTTATTTGCTATTTAACTTGACTCAGAATGCTGCTGTTAAGTAATAAGTGTCACCTGATGAGAATCAAAGCTCCTAGCTATACTGGGGGAGTGCCAACCCACAGTTGTGCCTCCCAAGCACTCAGGCTAGCGAGTGCTCCAGTGAATAAAAGTGGTTTTGAGACTCACCCACTTTCCAAGACCAAAATGGACCATGTTGGTAAGTCCTTTTGACAGCAGTTGGGTGCCAAAGGCTTTAGCACCTCAGCAATAGACGCAGTCTATTGGAGATATTGTTACATAGGGGAATTCCAGCAACTTCTGTCTGTGAAATAAATACAAAAAACCCTTCCCACTCCTGCAGTGTTACCTACTGAAGCTTGGGCTGTCTGAAGAAATCTGTTCCTGTTGCTTGTTTTTCCTTGCTGCGAATTCAGCCCTGATGTACAAAAACCCCTGGCATTACTAGGAATTCAGAGACTGGAGAATCTTTTCTCATTTTGCTGTATACACATACAACTCATTGTCAACAAGAGGAGTTAAGTGGTTATGCCACAGCTTGTCAGCATGGCTCCAGCCAGCTCTGCAGAGTTCACCACAATGTCCATGTGGGGAGGGCTTTCTTTTCCTAGGACAGGTGCAGGAAGTGGTCCTCCTGAGCTCCTACAGATGGTAGACATTCGGGATGTTCTGCTCTCAGACGTGTGACATCCTGCGATGATCTCCAGCTCCCTGACAGAGCAGCCCTTTTTGTCTCTCCAAAGGTAGCTCTTGCTGCAGTAAGAACAAATCCAGGGATGCTAATTTGTTTTCCATGAGGTTCAGAAGACAAAGTGTAAATTTCCCTGAGTGTTTGTGTCCTGAAGACTTCCTCTTGGTGCTCTTCTCCTGGATGTGGTTAGGAGACAGAGGAAATCGTACCTCTTGACAGCACAGGACACTCCCTTACTTTTGTGAAAGAAAGGAAAGGGGAGGAGGAGAAGATGGCAAGTAGGAGGAAAGGGGTGGGGGGAAAACATGATTCTACCCACCTCTGCACAAACCAACAATGGTGCCCAGCAGTTCCCATATTCCCAAATTTCCAAAGGGCTGTAGTTGGCAGGACCCCCTCTGCTGCTAGCTGAAGCAAAGCGTCAGGAGAGTTTTGCTTTATAGGACAAAACTTAAGGGTATATGATTCTGTTGTAGGTTTTGTTTGTTGGCTTGCAGTCACTGAAAACAGAACTCGCTGTAAGTAATTCCCATGCTGTGCTGCTGTTCCTTCTCCCAAACTGGAAAAAGAAAATGAAACATTTCCACAAAAAGTTTCTGTAGAAAATCTTAAACTGTGCTCTCAGTTGGTCTTATCTACATATTTTGATGGACAGCTCCCAGACTAGTTTAGCTTAAATTAAATTTTCTCATTTTGGAGCTGAGCTGCTTATCCTAATTTACACAATATTCCAAGTGATTGCAGCAGGAAATAGGAGTACATGCATTTCATTTTCAGCACAGGGGAAGAATTGGAAATCCAACTATGTCATTTAGGAGCATAAATCAAATTGAAAATCGGAGAGCTTTACATCCATAACGTAATCCTACATCAGGGCTGGGTACAGGATATGATTCATAAATTAAAAGGGAAGCATTTAAATAGCTAAGAGGGTTTGATTTTAATAGATGTTAATTCTTTTCTTTTTAAGGGTTTCAGAATCGCGCCATTTACACCTGTACATGCCGGCTGGGATGGCATTCTTGGCGGCCATCACATCAGTTGTCTATTACCATAATATTGAAACATCCAATTTCCCGAAGTTGTTAATTGGTACGTCTCACAACTTACAAGACTTGGAAATGTGATTGTGGTGCTGTGTGTCTGTTCATTCCGTGACAGGTCATTCCAGTTTCAGTGCTAGCTTGTATGGATGAAGCTACACCTTTATTCTGATCTGCTGGTTGCCATTGCCAGGCTCAGTTCTGAGTTTTCCTGAAACAGTTCATTGGTTTTAATTTTTTTAACTTCTAATAGTATTTTGTGTGGTGTTCTTGGGGATCCAATTGGTCAAAGGCTTCTCTAGGAAAAACTGGATTTGTGGGAAAAGGAGCATATCAAACTCTTAACTGTAAAAGCTGTCCAAATCCCCCTGCTTGTCAGCACGTTGCATAGAAGCATGATAGAAGATTGAAGCCATAGAATCGTTTAGGTTGGAAAAGACCTTTAAGATCATCCAGTCCAACCATTAACCTAACATTACCAACTCCACCACTAAACCAATTAAGTGTAGAGTAGCAACCCCATGCCTCCTTGCTTGGTGGCTGGATCATTTATAATGGAAGTAAAAACTAGGAATCATTAAGGTTGGAAAGGACCTCTAAGGTCATTGGTCCAACCATCAACCCAACACCACCATGCCCACTAAACCATGTCCCCAAGTACCACGTCTACACATTTTTTGAACACTTCCAGGGATGGTGACTCCACCACCTCTCTGGGCAGCCTGTTCTAATGCTTGACCACCCTTTCCGTGAAGAAATTTTTCCTAATATCCAATCTAAATCTTGCCTGGCGCAGCTTGAGCCCATTTCCTCTCTTTTCCTATCGTTATCTACTTGGGAGAAGAGACGAGCACCCACCTCCCTACAGCCTCCTTTCAGGTAGTTGTAGAGAGCGATAAGGTCTCCCCTCAGCCTCCTCTAGGCCATACAATCCCAGTTCCCTCAGCCGCTCCTCATAAGGCCTGTGCTCCAGACCCTTCACCAGCTTTGTTGCCCTTCTCTGGACACGCTCCAGCACCTCAATGTCTGTCTTGTATTGAGAGGCCCAAAACTGGACACAGTATTCCATCTTTGTGTGTGTGTGATGTCTATTGAAATATGCAGGGAGTCAAGGGAAATGAATGACATCACTGACTTTCAGTATGACCCTGGATATATTATTTTGCCTACTTGTTCTTGCTTCCTGTTCCTAAAACTCCCTTTGTAAACTGCTTTAAGGCCTTTTGAATGGAAATTGCTATATATAAAAAATACCTAGTATACTATGTATTTTCTGCAAGATTGTAGATAAACTGTAGCTAGCTATAGAAATCCATTACTGCTGACAGTCATGCAGTTAGTGACGTGTTCTCTACTGTTTAAGTAGGTTGCAGACTGTGGATATCTACATGTTTAGTTGTCCTGCTGGCTGTTCTTTCTTTGGTGGTCCTGGCTCATGAAATTTGTTTTGAGCTGGTTTTCTGTATTAATAGATCCTGCTAAGGTTTGTCTTGTGTCATTGTAGCTCTGTGTATCAAAGTTCTGTTCTAGTTTTTGTTAGGTGGTAAAAAGTCAGTAATAACTGGATTTGAGAAAGCTTTTAAATAGTAAAGATTATTTTGAACTGCATGTTGTGGTAAGCAAGCATCCTGTTCTGCAGAAGCAGCCTGTAACTCCTGTTAAATTTAAAAAAAAAAAAAAAAAAGGTAATTCCTCATGAAAAACTTCAGATTTCTATCCAGGCTTGGTAACCTTTATGTCTTCTCATTTAGGACTGCTTTTCTTCTTGTACCCTTCTTTTAAGGAGGATCTTTTTTGTCTTTTGTAACCAGGTGGGGTAGTTAAATTAGACCTACGCTCAGCTATCAACCCACTAGAGTGCAGTGTGGCCATGAAGCAGCTTTGTTTTAGAGCCTAATACAAATGAGGTAAATGGGAACCATGACGAAAAGCTGAAGTTGGTGATAAACTTCTTGCTGAGTGTAAGAGAAAGGAAACCGAAAGAGGGTTCTTAATAAAATGTTGTAGAGGAGATCTAATATTACACACACAGAGAGTAAAGTAAATGACCTGATGTGGTGTCTTCTGCGGCTCCTGAACATTGGTGAAGTTCCACCTAACTGCAGGGTATCATCTCTCTCAGCTGCAGGATCAATGCCTACACTTGCAAAGAGCTGGTAGGCATGTAAAGCAAAGGCTAACAGAGCCTTACCCAAAAGTTACTAAATACAGTGGGGAAACTCTCACTGATGCAGTGCAGAAGACTCTTAAAGGTCTGTTCATTAATTCTGAACAGGATAAAATTTTCCAGTCTTGTGAAACTCTGAGATGTTTTCTTCTTTAAAATCTTTTACACTCTGTATCTTAAACCAAGTCAGTTTGTAGTTCTTCAAGAGGCAGATACCATGACAGACCTGGGGATTAGCACACTCCCTTGGGGTATGCAAGACAAGGACTGAACATTCCTGTGCTGATCCTCCCTTTCAGCCTTATGCCCATAGCTTTCATACTGAACTGGAAAATCTGCTAGCTTTCTTGACCATCAAAATAGGTAGTTGAATGGTAGCATCTGATTGCACTGTTGTTTAAGTTACTGTTTATTTGTTTTATAGATAAATAAACTTCAGAAATTAAACAGTAGGAGAAAATTATCAAATAACAATAGGACTTTGAGTTTTTAATATGAAAGGGATAGTAGTATGGGAACACATCAATTTTTTTATTTAAGAAAATTGTCTTTTTTTTTTTTAACCAGTTGTAATTATAGGACTGCCTTACCATTCTTGACAATAATCTAGTTTTCTACTTTAAATTTCTTGTACTTGACATGGAACTTAATTCCCTTGGAATTAGTTTATTGTTGAAAATTGAACTTCCTGTTACTGTATAAATATAATGCTTATTGCTTAGTACACAAAATTTCTCTCCAAACAGACACAGGTTAATTAATAAATCTCATCCAGTTAAGTGCATGGTTTTTCAGATCTTTGGCTTAATCAAATAAAGGTGTAGCACAGTTTTGAGTTCCACATTGCTTAATTTTCAGTGGTCTGGCCCCAGGTGAGAATCTACACCCTGGTGTTGTAGGTTGAGGTAGCTTACACAGCCCAAGAAAAATCAAAGTCCTTTAGGCTGCAGCCATCTAGAATAGATCTAAAGCCATCAAATAAATGAAAGCATGCCTCCATGGTCTGATTGCTAGGCAGTTCAGGCCAGTGGAAGTTCTTGGTGATAATTTCTAGAAACTCTCAGCCAATATGCATTCACCAGCCAGATGATAAAAACACAGTCTAAAAGAAAGAACCATAACTGTATTTTCCAAGGAGCCTTATCTTGAGGGGCCTGTGAACAATCCACCAGATTAGATTATATACTGTTGTATTCAAAAGTGAGAAGCTAAATAAGTTAAATGCTTCTAGGAGGTATGACAGTGGGAGGTCAGTTATCACCTAAGAATGTTGCGTTTGGCGCTTTCTAATACTTCTTAGATAAAAGATAAATGGATGTTCTAAGAAAATAATAATTAAAAAAAAAAAAAAGGTCATATAGACCCTTATTTAATCCTGAAAAGAGAATGGCTCTGCTAGTGCTTATTTCCTCTTCCAAGAGCTCTGCGTAGATACCAGTTGGGTTGGTTGTTTTTTCAGGTGTCCTCTGCTGGTGCAGGTTGTCAGTGTGCTATGTTTGTGTAAGTCCTCTTTAAGAAGGATGCATTCTCAGTCCATTGTAAGAAGAATGAGACAAAACACAAGGATTAACAGATAAGGGTGGTCAGGAATAGAACAATGTGGAATGTATTCTTGGATTAAGTGAGATTTTAGTCAGGCATATCACAAACAGGAAGGAATAGTGCCTCAGAGGTAGGAAACAGTCTGAAGGAAGATGAGGAGATTAGATTCGATGCAGTGTAAATTGGGAAGATGGTAGGTAGCCTCACATAAGAAAGCTATAGTTTTACAAGAGAGATTCTGTAAGTGTGTCTCCTAAATCCTCTCTGCAACTGCATCAGCCACTGAAATACAGCGCTGAAATACCTGACCTTGTAGGGCTTTCTTCTTACAAACTGGCCTATTCATTTTAGAGGAAGATAGACTCTCTCGGCAAATGTCCTAATGCCCAGTACTCCTGCACTGTTCCATTTACTGCCCTCATCTAAAGGTGAGTTTTGAAATTGATTGCCATAGAAGCAGGATTGGCAGCCCCAAATCCCATACGGACTCTCCGTGTTGAGTTTAGTTTTGCTTGGAAAGGGTAGCCCCACAGTACATCTCCACAGGGCTTTCTAGGGTGCCTCAAGGTAGCTGGAACGCCACAAATTCTTTGAAATTTGTGCAAGTTCCTGGTGATTATCCATATTTGTAAGTTAGACTTGCGGGTGCTAATGTCTTGGTTGAAGACTCTCTGGTGTTGGCAGCCAGACACTCAGAAAGCATGTCCATGTTTTCCTTGGCAGTTAGAGCACATTCCAGCTGTTTTACCATGGGAGATATAGCAGCAATGAAAGATTCATGTAAAAGAACATGACCCCAGAAGGTATTCTCTTAAGAATGGGGAACAGGAGCTGGTTTATGGTGTGGTGAATGGTATGGAGTGTCTTTTCAAATCACCAGAGTTTACTGCAGGGCGTATTTATCCATAATTGACAGTAGCACTTTTAGACAAGAAGTTCAATAGAACTCTAAAAAGTTAAAGTTGTGCTCTACAAATGCCAGAACATCCTTCCTTGATGTGCCTGTGTATCTGCATTATAAATTACATCTATGGAATTTGCATTGAACAATAGCGCAGCAGCAGTTTGGAGAAAATATTTTAATATCTATTCCTGCATACATCCCAGAGATCCGCAGGGAGAATGAGATCAATTTTCCTTCAAGCCAAATTCATAGCAGTCTTGTAGCATTAACCAAATTCGAAGAGCATCATTCACAGCCACCTTCGCTTGTGGGGCACTCCCTCCCTTCAACTCATCATGTGGACGCATGTTTACAAGAGATGGAAATTTCCTTCAGCAGGCTTCACTTTGTGAAACTTGCCAAATATCACTAAATCTAATAGGAAAGGAATTTGGAACTAACAATATCTTAACATTTTCATGTTTGTGGAATTGAATTAGGCTTCTGTTTTGACAGGAGAAAGGCCATTCTCTGGTTTTATATATTCTTGTTGCATTCTTTCTGAATGAATATTTAATACTGCTATTGTGTATTTTTGCAACTGTGGAGCTGATTAACTTTTTTTTTCCCCCCCCTACAGCATTGCTGTTCTACTGGACTTTAGCTTTCATAACTAAAACCATCAAATTTGTAAAGTTCTGTGATAATGGGGTTGGATTTTCTCAGCTTCGATTTTGCCTCACAGGACTCCTGGTTGTTCTATATGGAATGCTACTAGCTGTAGAAATAAATGTCATCAGGGTGAGGGTAAGTTGGTATCATAGAAGTCTCCCTCTGTGTTTTGGTGTTGTGTTGTTTTTTTTTTTTTTTTCTTTTTTCTTTATTCCTCTTCCTGGGTACTTAACTGTGAAATGCATTTCTAAAGGAGAGAGAAAAATCCACATAGAAATAGAAATATATTTAAGAATCAAAGGTTAACCCAACTTCATTAGGCCAGATGAATCAATAATTTAAAGAAAAAAAAAAAAAACCTCCATTGTAGTTAAATTAAGATGAATTTCATCTGTTCAAGTTGTTTTAAAAATGTCTATTATGATTCACAGTTTCAGTCATCAGAAACAAGTATTTCTGATGCAAGGAGAGACTGGGTGAAAGGAATTTTCTACTCTGTCAGAGAATATCTTAGACACACAAATAACATCTCTCATTTTCCAGGAGACAATCACAATAAGTGATTTATTGGGGCAACTGGGGTTGCTATCTAGCCTCCCAGCTATATGTATATATTTTTATTTCCCTTTCTATGGTGTCTGCAGTCATAATCCAAACTGGGAGATAGCTTTGGAGACTGCTGGCTAGATAAATGCCAAAGTTCTTCCCTTCACCTGTCCCTCACTTAACTGTGTGCACAGATTAAGCTTAGTCTCAGGAGGGAAAGAAACTTTTCCATGTACATTTTCTTGCTGCTTCCCTTGCATTAGTATGTGAACTCTTTCTAGTAACACATTCGGCAATGTGAATTGCATCTATCAGATATTTGCTCTTTTGTGATTTTCTTGGGGCATTTTGTGTGTCTGTATGTTTATTTGATAACTTGGGACAAAAATCTGTCTAGAAGCAGACTTTGCAGTAACCCTTTTGAAAGAAAGAGTAATAAAAACCTCAATGCTGAATGTTCAGTATTTATGTCATAAATGAAAAACAGTGGATTGGCTTGTGGGAAAAGTGAAATTCAAATGTGATATTGGAGAGACTAGCTCATAAACCTCCTCGTAATAGAACTGCATAATTAAATAAGATTTAATCACTGTGGAATTATAGGCCACAAGGAAGAATAAAAAATGGTCACTGACTATTATAATCTTTTTTTATGTTCTGTTTGGATTTAATTATTAAAGGATGTCATTGATGCATAAAATGAATTAGCCAGCAGTATGGATTTTTTTGCTGCGTATTATGTCTATGGCAGAGTTTGGAGAGCCAGGCTTGTTGCTGTAGCTGCTGAAAGAAGGGATTGGGATGCATGGAGAGCTGGCCGCTGCTGAGGGGGAGGAGGGGCAAGGAAAGTAGAAATAAGGGGTGAGACCTCTATGCAGCAGAAACAGCAGAAATTGGCCTCACCTTTTTTCTCCTGCCTTCCCCCATCTTCGTCCAGAAGACAGAAGATTAACTGGTTTGACTTTCAATCCCAACTGTCCTTTCTTCTTTCCTTCCAATGTTCCCATTGTTCCTCTAGATGGCCTTTCCCAACCCCATCACCGTTTTTTCTAGGATCTGTGAATTAGTTCTCCAACTGTGATTGGAGAAAAGATAGCAGTGAAGCATATCCAGAAGTCCTACTAAGATTAATAGGATTTAGGTACAGTCATGAGTAGAGATTGAATGAAATACGTGATTGAGTACTCATTTCAGAAAGGAAGGGTGTATTTTTAAGAGGCTTGGCTTTTCATTCCCAAAAATGAGTGATGTCTGAAAAAGTTTTATCTTGACAACAGTAAATGGTCAGCAGTCTAACCTTGCTCTTTCCACATTTAGAGCAATGAAAACATTTGTTAGTGCCATATGTACTCTCTAGTTCAGTGGTTTTACAGACCCACTCAGGACAGCAGAGGTAGCTCCGTGTTCTGAGCTAACTAAATGTGAGGCAGTATGGTATGGAAGATGAATCACTGTGATAGCCTCAGGGCTGTGCCTAAGCTAGTATGGCCCATGTTGGGTTGTGTGGAACTCAGAGAGAGAGGCTGGGGCTGTACGATTTGAAATGTGAGGGGTTTTTTCTACAAATATGTAAATTTTTACCCCATAAACAAAGCAATAGTGAATGCTTAGGCTGTTTTATTTCTAGACTGGATTCCTCTGATTTTCCCCAGTACTGAGGAAACTTAATTGCTGCATTCGTTGAATTTGAATGTGTAAATTCCTTGAGTACTTTTGAGAAACCAAGACTGATTCATTGATTATATGCTATGTCCTTTATCTCTGAACTTTTCTTTGCAGACTTTTGTTTTCTATGTGTTTAGTGTAATTCTTCTGGTATTTTTCTGAATTTCAGAGGTATGTTTTCTTCAAAACTCCTAAAGAAGTTAAACCTCCTGAGGATCTCCAGGACCTTGGCGTTCGATTCCTACAGCCGTTTGTGAATCTATTATCCAAAGGAACATACTGGTGGATGAATACATTTATCAAGACTGCCCATAAAAAACCAATAGATTTGAAAACTATAGGCAAGCTTCCCATTGCTATGAGAGCTCTGACCAATTACATTCGCCTTAATGAAGCCTTTGAAGCCCAGAAGGTATGCAAAGCATGGAATTATGTCCATCTGCTTACTCAGTGCTTACGTTTTTCCGTACTTTTTATGCTGTGAACATGATACAAAATTATATAAACAGACATGATACAAATGAAGTATCCATTAGCGTAGCTTTATCACATACTCAGTTGTACCTCATACAAATAATGAAATTTCTTTACCTAAACATGCATGTCAAATACATGACTGGTTAAATGTATGTAAAATCCATATGGCCTTTATTTTGATGTGGAAAGTAATTATGGATTGTATTCACTGAACCCTGTTATCATTCTTCCTAATAAGACCCTGGAATCATTATTAGTCAATATTAAGGAGGCCTCGGAGGACTATTTTTTCCATGTTACTTCAGTTACAGTTTGTCTGTAGGAGATTTCAGGGCTGGAACTACCTCAGCTCAAATTCTGCTTGACTCCCTGGTGGCAGCTGAGTGTATTCAGGATTTTAAGAAAAGTCTTTTGCATTCTGTCTAAAAAGAGTGTAGGTTTCCAGTCTCTATGCTCACAGGAACACAAAACCTGTCAGTTCCCTCCCTCTTTTTTTTCTTTCTCCTCCAGCAAGCCACAAACACCACACTTATTTGATCCCTGTTAAGGGTAGGAAAAACATAATGGTTCTTTGTGACATGGAGGAGAGTACAAATTAATGCTTTGTTCTGACTCTATAAAAACAAATGAAATAATAATTGTAGTTCCTGTGCTTTCCTAGCTCAAAGATTGCAACTGGTTGTCAATGAATTAAAGAAGGGATAAAAATATCAATAATTTATCAGGCCTGAGGTTAATACATACCATAATTCTTGCTAATTTTTTTTTTTTTTTTTTAAATTCTGAGCAGAACAAAAGGTCGTCATCTCCACAAGGATCCAGATCAATTTGGCGTGCTCTCTGCTGTGCTTTTGGAAGACCCTTGCTTCTCAGTAGCACATTCCGTATCCTGGCTGACTTGCTTGGATTTGCTGGTCCGCTCTGTATCTCTGGGATTGTTCACAATGTTGGAAAAGGAAATAACACCATCCGCCCACAGGTACTGTCAAAATGTCATAAAAATAGAGGAGTCAAAAAAGTAATGCTATGACTATGTATTATTTGGCCTCAGTAAAGAAAGTGACTCTGCAATGTATTTGTGAATGCTAGAAATGACAGTATGTCTGTAATGCCTGTTATCCACATTTATACCTTGATAGGGTGCAAAATATGTTACCCACGCCTCTAGTCAGGCTTGCATTCTGGGAAAAAACCTCATTCAAGATAATGGTGAAGCACATCCAGAATCCCACTAGTATCGTAAGGATTTTAGGTATAGTCTTGAGTAGAGACTGAATCAAGTATGTGACTGAGTGCTTTTCAGAAAGGAAAAAGTATATTTTTAATAGGCTTGGCTTTTCATTTCCAAAAATGAGTGATGTCTAAAGAGGATTAAAGCAGGATTTTGTCATCGCAATAAAATGCCAAATAATTTAGCTGTGACAAAGAATTTCCACTAGTGTCTTTGGGGAGGTTGGTTTTGAAAGATCGACTGAAATGTAATTTTAAAGAATGCTACTTAAATGAATGTTCCCCAAGAAGAAACAGACATACTTCTTGATTAACGGGGAAGAAAAAAAAAAAAAGACAAAAAAAAAAAAGACAGACCAGGAAGAATCTTCTCATTTTAAGGTGAGGTCACTCAGGCTGGATTTTTATGAGAAAGCTCACTTTAATTTTGCAGCTCACTTATTGTTTGAGAGAAGACTTGATTTCCAAAGTCTGTTGACGCTAATGGAAATATACCCATTCACTCAAGTACACTTTGGATTAGGTCCACTGTACATATTGAAATACATCAGATGCATTGCAGAAAGTTTAACAAAGGCCTCAGGCTACAATTAATTGTTTATACATTTTGCAATCCTTATCCTAATATTTGGAAACTTCATATAGCAAGTAGTTTCAATGGAAACCAGTTAAAGCAGGAAATGAAAAAAATAGAGCACTATGTTGCAGCAAAGTACTGTGGCAGCTTTTAGGCTGCTTCTTCATAATTTGTTTGGAACACTGTTTCAGCTGAAATTATACCAAATCACTATTTAGACTATCCTATTTAATTTTCCTATTAAAGTCTCAGCTAGGGCTCCTGTGTGAAAAATGCTCAGGACTGGTCCTGCTAGGGCCTGGATGGAGTCCCATCCAGCCTTGACATCCTCACTGTGTCTGGCTAAGTGGTAGCCTCATCGTTGTTGTCACTTTCACCATTTGGGGATCACCTAACAGCAACATTCACTGATGGTGATGGTTCATAAGTGACACTTAAGGGTGTATTTTACCTTGGCTAAACGGTCTCCAAGAGGCTTTTCCTTCTGTGTTGACCTGGTTTATACACACTGTTTTTCTGTTAAGAGGCTAATTACCTTTACGTTTGAAAATTGCTCTTGCTGGATTAGATGAAGTATCTTTCTAAAATGTATGAAGGCTTTCTATTCAAGCCATCTCTAAACAGACTGGTGTGTTCAGGAAAACTCCCACATGTATGCACATACCTAGCCAACTGGGTCTACTTTAGGAAAAAATACACCAGCTCTACTGCTAGGAATGTTATATCCTTACTTGTAATGAGTCAAAAAAGGAGAACCTTGCCTTATTAATTGTTTGTTCCTGAGAGCTACATAGGTGTGGGAAACAGGTCTTCTAAAACACTGTTGTATGAAGGCAAAGATAAGTTGGGGGGAAGCATTGTGTCTGATGTGCTGCTGAGTTTAAGGGCATTAGAAAGAATTGTCATACAGTGGGACAGAATCGGACAAGCAAAGTAAGCTGTGACTACTGCGGAGAGTGTCTTTTACCCATCCCTAAAAGTGGCATTTCTTCATTTTAAATAGTTTAGGTTGAGGAGATGTTGTAATGAGTCAACTGTATCTTTCAAACAGAAATTCTGTTTGTGAAGCTGAAGGTAAAGAGATAAATCCTGAGATACAATATTTGCTCTATTCTTCAGGCCCTTTATGACAGATATAAACTGCTGTGGAGCTGGAACTCTGATATCACGTGGGTGTCACGGGCAGTATTAACTGCTTTAGTTAGTGCCGCAGTTAGTCAGAGCATGACAGCATCTTAAATTCTGTCACGCTCTTCATGTTTATTTATAACTCTAGTATCAATATTTATGGCCACCCCGGAACGTTCTTATGACATGAATTTCTTTGAGTGTTAATCATTTCACACTGAAGAAGAGACTGACAGAATGATAACCTTTATATTTTGCTGGTAGTATCTTCTACATTGCAATGTTAGGATTAGCAGTTCCAGTATTTGAAATATCTGCTAACATAACACATTCAAATGATACACCAAACCTACAGACTCATTATTTAAAAAGCTCTGGAAGTCATAGGTCCCAGTGTAGCGAAAGGCCCATTTAAGATTGTGTGAGTCTAGGGTCTTTAAGTATTTAAATAGTGGCCTTTTGCTCAGCCTTTTACTGGTTAGAGCCTACTGGTACTTTTAAAAAGTAGTATTATCCTGAAGTCATCAGGAAGGTGGGACACTGAATGTCCCCAAAGCCATTTCTGAAAATAAAACATCTAATTAGTTCCATCAACTTCTCAGACAAGGTTATTTGCCTTATGTGCAAAAGGTTCAGTAGATGTTCAGTTATTTCCTTGTTTCCTGCAGGCTGACAAGTGCACTTAGACAACTATTGTAGTTTAAACACACAGATGCTCAGTGACTTTGTAAACCATAATGGCTTGATAATGCGTCTGAGACTTGGCAAATATCTTGGTGCTTTCACCAAGTCTCTGTGTGTGATGTTTATGTATATATGTTTAAGTCCTCCTTTTCTCTCAAGTACTAATGAGAATATTCATCTCGCTTTTCCTCCTTGTTTATCTACTGTATAATATTTTGATGTGAATCAACCACTGCACTGCAAAATCTTATTGCTAGAAAAGCATTTGTCAGAACATCATTGTGTAAAAAATAGTATTCTTTTGCAGACAGTAAAAAGTGGTACTAGCTGCAGTAATAAGCAGTACTAGCCAGCTGTATATGTAGGACAGCATTGACGTTGTGCTGCCTGTGTTACTGCCTCTGATGTAATACAGCACAGTCTGTAACCATCATGGTTCATGGTTGTGATAATGCTTGGCCTTTCTCTTTGCTGTCATGGTAGTGTCTTTTACAATCACAGTCTCGCAGTGTCACAGACTTGTATGTTGTTCTAGCTTTGCCTTCGTAAGAAGTTTTTTTTTTTAGTTTTTAATGTGTTACAGAGATACCACTTTTTCCTGGATGACCCTATATTCAAACAAAAAGAAATCCCAGTGAAGAACTGCTAAAATAATAGCTGACCTGAGAAAGGGTAACTCAAAGGAAAGATTCTCACTGTTGCAAGTCAACGAGATATGTCTGAGGGGAAAGCAACACAAATGTATATGATTGGTTTTCCGCAAATGTGCTTTTTCTTCCCGCTTCCCCCCCACCCCCCAAGTTTTGCAGTTATATACTGTTTCACGTTCTATTTTGTATTTAAGTGTATATACACTGCACAGGAGACAATAGGTGGCTCTTAAACTTGTACAGTTAAGCACCAGGGGCAGTTCTTCCACCTTACATGTGCCTAATGCTTTATGCTTATGACCATAAATATTAAAGAGTCTGAAAGATAAATTGGATGCATCTAATTGGCCATGGACTTGGCCAGTTTGTGAATTTCTCTTTCCTTTTCCACTGTCAAGGCCTTACAGGTAGCATGGGAGAAGACTCGGTTGTACTTGTAATTTTCCAGACCTGTGGTACATTTTCTAAAGCTTCCAGGCTCAATGTAGAGCCTTGGGTCTTCCTTCATATTCTTCAGAGTTACAGCAAGAATAAATTTACAACCACAGTTACATCTTGCAAGGGTCAAAGGCAAGTTAACTTGATTTGAAAAGCTGAGCTTGTAAGACTGTAAATAATCTGGAAGAGAGACTAATTTTTGCTGTAGCATAGACTTTTTGTAGTGCATAATGCTGCTGTAGCCTATTTGAATTACTATGGAATAAGTAATAATTTAGGGCTTAAAATCCCTTTAAGGTACAAATAACTAAAACTGTAGTTCAATGTCTCTTTATCTGAACATAATTGCTGCCATGTACCATAATTGTTCAGAGCTTTGCACTTTGTACAGATTTAAAGAAACAAGTATGCCCAGCAATTGCTTGCATTCTATTGATTTGACTTTGAAGACTCCATATGCTTGAATACTTTCTCAGAGGCCTTCTCTGAGGGCTAATTCCTTATGTAGTTCAGTGCCCCTACAGACTGCAGAAATGTTTACGTACATCAAATCTGGTTGAAGTCAAGTACCTAGCTGAATTGGAAAAGATTATCGCCTGCCAATTTACCTTTGAGAGCAGGAAATAAATTAGTAAATGAAATAGTTTTTATTCCCTGTTTTCAAAGCATGAAACTCAGCACTGTTGGGTGTAACTGATGGAAATTTTCCATGTTCTTGTAAGTTATTGCACTGTCTACTTCATAAAAGTAGTATATGACTATCAAGATGCCTCCTTATGGAAATAAGGAACTTTTGCATGAACAAAGATTTACAGGAATGGAATCATAATTACTTGTTTTTCTTTGTGTCCAGCCCTGGTCTGATTCTCAGTAGCTTGTAACAAATACCACATAAGTGGGAAAAGGGAGTAAAGCTAAGAAATTCACCTAAGTCCGTCAGTATTGCGTAGTGGACAGAAGTCCTTTGACAGCTGCTTAATTTGGTCAATGTTTGAAGAAGGGTCAACCACAATTCTTTTGGTAGTGGTCAGATATTTATGAAGAATGACTCTCTGGTGTTGATGAATGACCTCCCAGGCACCTCAACAGATGGTTAAACTGTTGTGTGGACAGATCAGACTAGTTTTCTCTCATGAGAAGGAGTATTGCTATGTGAGGTGGAAGGCACTGTGGAAACTTGTACTGAACGTGTTCTTGTAAGTGCACACTCTTCTCATGGAGTAAAAGAGAGCATCCTTTCAAAAACTGTTTTGCTCGTTATCTTGTTTATTTGTTTGCAAAGGTAAGCATACATTTCTTTGCTTTTAAGCCTAATTAATTACCCTACTGATGTCAGGGGGATAGATAGTGTGCCTACTACAGTAGTGGCAGGAGCAATCATGAACCTCAAAAGATAGAGTAAAAAGAGGTGGATAAAAATACCCTAAGGCTTCAGTTCCTCAAGAAGATGAAGTGACCTGTTGGGTCACCACTGCTGAAAGGACTTGCTCTTCCTCCTTTCACGTTCCTTGTCACCCCTGCTCCTGTTCACTCCTTTGCTCTAGCTCTGGCACCAGCTGGACACCTTTGTGGTCTGTTTTGGCCCACTGAACTAAAAGAAAAGAAGCAGATATTTTTTGGGGGGCTGATTTTCTTCTGTCAGTGAGTTGAACTAGCTCCAGAAGAGATCCAAAAAGCTCCCAGACTAGCACGCAGTAAGCAACAAAAGCATGCAGCTTGGAGCAACCTGGGTGCAATTAGGGGTAGGGAGAAGTCCATTCATCTTTCAGCTGGCTCAGCCCTTTAAAACCACAGCTTGAAAAATTTGGTTTAGCCTCTGTATTAACTTGTCGTGTGGGGTTTCTATAAACAGTTAGCTTCAAGGTGCAGATCAGATGTAATAAAACGTACAGACAGTGAGAGTTTGTGAAATACTGTTAAGTGTTACAGCAGCCTTGAAAATGTCAGCAGCAAAGAAACTATGTAGGCAAGAAGAAATGTGCTGAGCAAGGAATACAGCAGAGTGTAAATGACAAGAAGCCCTCTGAGAGGGAATAGAATCATAGAATAGAATCATAGAATCATTTGGGTTGGAAAGGACCTTTAAGATCATCCAGTCCAACCATTAACCCACACTACCAAGTCTACTCTAAGCCAACCAAGGGTAGACTAGACTAAACCATGTCCCGAAGTGCCACATCTACCCGTTTTTTGAACACTTCCAGGGATGGTGACTCCACCACCTCTCTGGGCAGCCTGTTCCAATTCTTGACCACCCTTTCAGTAAAGAAATTTCTCCTCATATCCAATCTAAATCTTGCCTGGCGCAGCTTAAGCCCATTTCCTCTCATCCTATCGCTAACTACATGGGAGAAGAGACCAACACCCACCTCACTACAACCTCCTGTCACATAGTTGTAGAGAGTGATAAGGTCTCCCCTCAGCCTCCTCTTCTCCAGGCTAAAATAGAAATAGAAAGAATAGAATAGAATAGAAAGAATAGAAAGAGACCTCGTCCTAATTTTGCCTCTAATGGCAGCATAAGCCGCTAATCAAAGTTTTGAAGGAGCCAAGGGGAGAGAGGCAGGCAGAGACATTTTAGTTTCAGAAGGCTTCCCAAGGTGAGCCAGCCTCTCAACTAGTTGTGGCACCAAAGGTGTCTGCTTGTTAAATATAATCTAGAATAAATGCACTGCTTTCCCAGTAAACTATAGACATGCTTCAAAATGCACTTTGGTGATGTCATGAACTTGCTAGGAGGTAATGACTGTAAATAAAAATGCTGAACAAACCTGTTGGATGCTGCAAACCAAAATAATGTACGCAGTTCCAGGAGTTGGAAGGACGTGTTTTCAGCAAGTTGTGAAGGTCATTTTAGTGTTCAGTAACCTGAGGTGCTAAAATAAGGAAACTAGTTTCTCCGAAAGGATGTTAACTAGTTCTTTCTGACAATGGGCAGCACACATCTTTTAGCAAATGACCATATGGAGTTACTCAAAGTGTCCTAGAGTTTTGGAAGGATATTAGAAATCCTATAAATGTCATTCTGCATTTAAATAAAGCTTACTGAGTTGGCACATTTTATGACTGTTCCCTTGAATTGATAAACTGTGAGGTTTCTGATCAGGTTGGGAGCACTTTCAAAATAATAAACTGTGGTTATCTCTGCTTATTAATTATGCAAAACTGGTAATTAAAGTACCATGGCACCTGATTTCCAACTTTCTTTTTTTTTGTAGACTAAAATTCTTGGTGTTTTCTTTATTTCATCTCAAGAGTTCCTGTCCAACGCTTATGTTTTGGCTGTACTGTTATTTTTTGCCCTTCTGTTGCAAAGGACGTTTCTCCAAGCATCGTACTACGTTGCTATTGAAACGGGAATCAACTTGAGAGGCGCAATACAGGTAGCAAATATATTGTTAATTAACATGTTCATACAATCATATGTGTATTTGTAAATACAAATTATAATTGTAGTAGTTAAATTCTGAAATGCTTCCCTCCTGAAATGTATTGAATGTAACCGTTGCCGTTAAAGATTGTGTTAACTTAGACCTCCATTCTCTTTCCTCTGCATCTTATTTGATTATTTTATATAAACATTTATTTGTAATATGTAATGCTGTATTTCTTCTTACCTTTGAGCATAGATTTGCTGACAGTAAAACTGAATATAACTTTTGAAAGAATTTAGGTTGTGAACCACACCTCTTGCATCTCAAAGGCGCATTTTTGTAATATCTCATGCAAATAATACAGCTTTAAAATGTCTTGTAAATACACTTTGGACAAAAGGATAGGTTGTATTCCCAGTGCATGGAGTGCTGTCTTATTCCATGGGTCATGCCACAAAATCTGCCAGGCATTGCAGAGTCTGTAATTACTGAACATAAGTAAGACTGGTAAAATGGAGTCCGTAATCATTGTCTAACTGTGAACAGCAGATCAAAGTTTTATGTCATATACAAAGATCTGTGCCTGGAAAGGAGAGAATTGGGTGTAAGATTACAATGCAATACTGCTCTGTGCACTGGCTGAAACCTACCCTCTGACAGCTTGAAAGCCACCCTTCTAAGTTACACTATTTATCCGCTGAACTACATAGATCCTGTGAGAGTCCCTGTGATAGATGGATGCTTTCAATAGCGTAATTGTTTAATGCTCTTTTGATCTTACACTTGGAAGCACTTGTCAGCTGCCAGACTTCTGGATTCCATCCATTGGTTTTCCCTCATTAGAGTGAAGTAGAAAATTCCTAAAGAAATAAAAACTTGACCCAAGATATATATAAAAAGATTGGGCATCTTGTATCAAGCAGAAGAGCTGCAACTAACTGAAAAATACACGGACCACAGCAAGCATAAAAGGGGAATTGTTGGTAAATAGTGCACATTCCCTACAATTTTGCTTAAGAAAAATTTTGCTTTTGTGTTCTCTGTGCTGGATATTACACAGAAGCCCAGATAGTGCCGGCAGTTGGACTGTTCAAATTGGAAAATTTCTAGCCATCACTCTAAGCAGCGGGATTAGCGTTAATGGCAGTCTCTGTGCCATTATTTTTGTACAATCTTTTTCCTATAATTTTTCAATTTTCTTTAAATCTTTTATCTCCTTTCCTCCCCTGTGTAAACCTGCACCTGTTCAATGTGCCTTGTGTGACTTTATGCTTCATGATGGACAGTTGGCACTTGATCTGAAGGGACTTAGTGAATCAGGGTGCCTCCTGTCAGCTAAGTCTCATGACTGCAAAGCATCACTGTGTAGCCTTTTACCAAACCAGCTGGTAAAAGTACACTTCCATTATTGTGTAGTAAGTTATTTTTTTATACGTGGTACCTGATTCTGCACTGAGGCAACTACTTAATTCAGTACAGAATCGGACCTGTAACATTAGTTGTCTGTGAATTAAACTTTGTAATGGGACTGACCTCTCCAGCCACGATGTAGCAACATTCTGAGCCCGCGACACACTTCTGAGGTTGGATGGGACCTGAATCAGTTGCCAGAGAAAAATAACAGGGATTATAATATATTGACTATTATATACTGAATGTAATAATATATTATTTTATTAGCACTGCTTAAAGCAAGGGCACTCCATGGAGAAGCTGGAGGTATAAATCATAGTTGTTATTATGGTTCTTGGGCCTTTTAGGCAGTAAAGGTTTCATTCTCTTACTGATCTACAGGGGTGCAAAAAGGGAATACTTAGACAACCATTATGTACCTAATTGCACTGTGCTTTTTGTGAGCAAAAAAGCAAACTTTCAGCTCTTCATTCAAGTTACTAGCAATGTTGTTTTCCCTCAGCAAGCTGGACTATGCCTGTGTTTTAGATGGAGCTAGAAATGTTATTTTCTTTCTATATGCTAACACCTTTTGATCTCTCTTCCAGACAAAGATATACAATAAAATTATGCAGCTTTCAACCTCTAACATGTCTATGGGGGAGATGACTGCAGGCCAGATCTGTAACCTGGTTGCCATAGACACAAATCAACTGATGTGGTTCTTTTTCCTTTGCCCTAACCTTTGGGCTATGCCAGTACAGGTGAGGAGATTGAACGTGCTTTTGTTATTAACATGCATCAGACTGTAGTGACTGCTTGCTTGGGAATGTTTTGAAAGTAGACATGTTAAAGAATACCTTGAAATAAGATTCAAGATGTTAATGTCTAGAAACACGGTATGTAATATATTTCACATCTGTGACAGGACTCCAGGTACTGAGGATTGTATTAGGATCTTGATGGCTGCCACCTGTGCTTTGCATTTGTAACAAGAATTTATAGGGTGCAGCCGGTTATGTTATTCCAGTGCATTCATTTATTACATCAGGGGACTTAACTGGAATGTATTGCAATCATTTGTCTTCTGAATCCTAGCAGAAGCAAGAGAAGTAGCAGTTCATTACAAAATATGATCGCTTAGAGATGATCCTTTGGACATCTCTTAAAACTACTGCTGCCTCACAGATGACAAATTCTAGCGCATGAAATCCCACAGATTCATTTGTTATGTGAAATGGTTTTGCGACTTTATCCTCTCTGGTGTCTTTGGTCTCCTGTCTCTAAATATGACTCTCATCCCATCAATCTCCTTTCCCACACGTGTGACATGGAGCAGATCACTGTTCTGAGTCACGCTCAATCGCCTGATGACTCCTGGTTCCCATGTCCTGTAGCCTTGCGTAATGCCCAATGAAATGCAGCTGTGTCTTACCAAGTCCTCAAGATGAGGAAAGCAGAGTCCCATCTCGGAGGGTACTTTCACTATTGATTTAAATTAATCTTAAGCTTGTTCCTTTACTGAAACAGGCGTTCGTATGCGATGTCCAACATGGAAACACAGTATTTTTACGTCCTTCATTCTTCCAGCTCTATAGATTGTGCATTGTGTCACGTGAGCTTGCGGAGCTACTGAAAAACTAATCTGATCAAAACTACTCTTTTTTTTCAGTGAGGTAGTATTCCTCTGGGTCTGTGAAGTGGAGAATCTCACTGGATGGCCATGTGATTAATTCAAGTTTATGCTAGTAAAAGGGTAGAGCAGACACAGATTAGTAGGAGGTCAGAGTAATCTTGGTACAACCTTGGATCATTTTTCAAAGTTCACGCTTACTGAAACGGTGGAAAAGTGCAAATTACTTAGTTTGGGAGAGCCAGTACTTAAACAAAACCGTAGAAATCTCCTGCACTTCCATTTAGGAATTTCCTGAGCAAACTGACAGTAAAACACATAGTTTCATTATTAATACAGTACCCTGCAATTCTTTCTGCTTTCTTCCAGCTACTCAGTGTATTTTTGTTGAGAGTGCTTCAATGCTAAAACTAAATACAAACAAAAGGGGCAGCAGAGTTTAGATTCGCTCAGTATTTTCTAAAAGTATCATTTAGTTTCAAAGACATGATGAAAACTCCATTGTATTCATGTCACAAAGGTAGTCTGGTTCCAGCACTACGCAGAGGCTGACTTGGCTGGTGTGGAAGTCAGAAAGCTGCAAGTAATCTACCCAGCAGCTTTGCTTTTTGGGTTGCCTGCTCTTGCTCAAAAATGAAATAATTTTCATGAGACTGTATATGGACTGCAACTGCCAGATCATATTTCCAGTCAGTTTCTAACATGGCTTTAGGAGTGTTGCTTAGGAGTTCCTGTGTCCATCAACATCGGATACTAATGATTTTCTTCTAAGAAGTTGAGCATATAAGAATATTACATTGAAAAGTTGGGGATGGGGAAGAAAAGCCAGCCATTCAGGTGATTATATAAATTCTGTGAACTTCAAAGAGTAAGGCTAGGCTAGGCTGCTGGCCATCAGATCTGGATTCTTTTCTGACAATAAAGATACATATTAGAATTGAGTGGATTTTACAATTGTTCCTGTCAGTGACAAGAGGTTTTGGTAAAGCTGCTACAGATCAGATGAGCAAGTCTTCCTTTGTGATGGTCTTAAAATCATCTGATTGCATGGTAAGCCAGATTAACTTCCTAACCTGGGGAAAAAAAAAAAACCTGGTTTAACTGTTTTCCCTTGGTATAACTATTTTCCCTGGATTTGGTTTTTGGGTTTTTTTTTTTTCCCCCCTCACTGAGGAAAATACTGGGGAGGGGCAGTGTAGGTCCTTCATGATTGTCAGTGATAGTGAGTTCTGGAATGCATCTTTGTGTCCTCTTGTGTAGTCTCAATCTTTGGGGAGTATTTGTTCTTTGGAAAACCAATTAGTGGCCTCTTGAAATACTCTGGGAGTCTTCACACTTCTGCTATATGTGTTTGAAATCTAATATGTTACCACATGTCTTCTAGTATCTCTGCAGTAGTGAGGGGTAGATTGCTTCTGAGACTGCAGTAGGTTGTGGAGGAAGAAAAAATCTGTCTGAATCTCTGGTAAAACTCTCACTAACTCCAGTGAGAGTTGTGTAGAGCCTCAAATCAGAATAGTGAGCCCATTAAGGTGTAATCAGCAGCTTACTAACCGACAGCTTCTTTTAACTAAGCGTTCATGCCTAGGATTTGCATTTACGCTACATGTGAGCTGTATATAACTATACCCGTTAAAATACTAAGATTTAAAATTATTGTAGTCGTATTTATACAGGTCATAGTGTGGCTGCATTCATACAGTATAAATGCCTTTATATCTTTCTTGTGCAGGAGTAACTGCATTGGGGTATAGAGTAGTTTTCCTGGTCTACTCTGGAGAGGCTTATATGCCAGTTAAAAACATTTTACTTTCTAGAATTAAAAAAGGGTGATGAATATATGAATTATCGGCAGGAATTTTTCAGAAAGAAACTTGACTTACTTTTTAGCATCAGGATGGTTTCCCTGAAGTTATGGGGGGAAAAAAATGGGAACCAGATTATTTTAAAGTGGGGAAAAATGCCACTGATGAAGGAACGTGTGCTAATGCTGATTTCTAACTGCAAAGGAGAAGACAACTATAATGAAAAAAACTGATGTGAAATATCACATGAAATATGGTTACAAGTTGGCAGTTTGTTAGTAATAATTTGGATATCAGGGTATTTTTTTATCCACTTACTAGAAGTACCCTGCAGTAAGAAGTTAGTGATTGTATAAAATGATAAAAAAGTGATAAAATGATAATGCTGAAAGAGCTATGAGGCATTAAGTAGAGTCCACCCCTTTAATGATAATGTTTAGGGTCCAGTTATCCCCTAGGCTTAGTCTCCATTGTAAGTCTGTCAGTAAAACAGGCTATGTAAGAGGTACCAACTTCACGTACACTTATTTGTAAGACCACTCTGGCAGCTCAGTGCAGAGCACACTTTAGTGCAACTGAGAATTAAGCCAATTTCATTGCATATTCTGTAACAAGATTTTTGTCTAATGTGCCAGAATTCATGGACTCATAAATATTTCCTGCACGTCTTCTGAAAATGTGATTATATTTGCATTAAAATTCACCCTGCAGTGCTCCTGAGTAGATGAGGACTATCAGTGTCAAAGCATGCTCCTGTTTTGTGGATGGTGCATGCATTACAAGGCACAGATGAGTCATGTTGGTCACAAAGGTTTCTCCAAAACATGTTGCCACAACATTCGTTCAATACTTTGTTTTGTGAGGCAGTGAAAACAATCACTGGATGCTCGAGAGATGGCTAATAAAAAGTTGAACAAGCTTCATTATTATTTAAAACAGGTTTTTAATTGTTTTGTAGCTCTTAAGCTAACAATCAGCATTTCAGCATCTGCTGTGGATTTTTAAATTATCCTTGACTACAAGACCTAGCCATTCATAACAAGTTAGGTTTTCCATACAGTCCAGATAATTTGAGTCCTATCTTTGCTCTGACTGGAGTGAATAGGAGCTTTCTCATTGCCTTAAGTTACTGTTTGAAGGCCATTGAAATCAATGAAAAGAGGCCTGGGGATGCCCATCAATTGAAAGATGCCCTCAGTAGGTTTGGCTCAAACCCTGGGAGCAAAATGAGGCCCTATAAAGGCTTTCCCCCCGACTCCCAGCCTCCATTTTATAAACACCCTTGTTTGATTTCATTGTGATTATTAAAAAATCCTGGATTCTCATATCTCTGGTTCATTGGCAGGGATAGCTTAACAGTTGTAATGAAAGGACATTTGTCTCTTTCAAAACTGGCCACAAAGCAGTTTCTGGCTGAAAGTATTTGCTGTCTTCAGTAAATAATCCAGACAAAATAACCAGAGCTACTGGTGAGCTTCTTGCTTGTGATATATCATCTCTGGCAGGTAAGAGCTTTGGGATTTAGATGAAAGAGAAGCAAAGTGTTTCATTACACAGGTTTTTAAAAATATGATCGCTACCTTCTCAGAAATATTAATGAGAGCCTTCCCATCTGCCAGATACTGCCCTCCTGCAGTTCAGGTATTATCTATGTACTGTTTATTCTTGACTAAGTAGTGTGAGGTATGATAAATATAGAATTACTTGCAATAATGCTTACAGATTTCAGCACTTTTCAGATAGGAGCATTCATGTACTTTGAGATTTTTTTTTTTTTGTCCCATACATGATGAAGATATTAAAAACTTTGCCCTTATTGCAATATAAAGAAGATGAACATGGGATCATTTTTAATCTATGGTGAAAACATAGAATTTTTACTGCAAAGACTGAAAGACTGACCTTGAATAGCCAGGATGTGGGGTGGGGAAAGCGGCTGTGAGCTCGCAACTCCCTCAGGATCCAGTAGTGAGAAGCTGAGGCTCTGTTTCTAGAACAAGCTGGTCCCATAATGTCCTTGACAATCAACCAGTAGTGGGGGAAAGCAGCGGGTCGGTGTTCTGCATTGACTTTGTACTTTTGAACATCTCTTAACTGTGCGCTGTTCAATGCTTTCCCATATTTTGCGTGCCTAGATTGTCTGCCCATGAAGAAGCAGTTGGGAATGAATATCTTGATCTGTAAAGACCAAGACCATCTCATGTTTTGGAGGGGACCTCTGCCAGCGCTATCTGACAGAGGCCTTGCATATTTTCTTTGGCTTCATACACTCGTAGATTTCCTGACTTCAGATGGGAGCAGATTGCTTACTTACTTGTCACTAGAAGATTTTTAATTTACAATTTAACCTTTGCTCTTACTAGATCTGTGGTGTATATACAATAGGACTTTACTTTCATGTTACCACATGTTTCCTAAGTAAATACTGTGACTCATTTTAAGAGTCACGTTTTAGTTCATCTGCAGAGAGGCATCAAAGGATTGTTAAGGAAAAAAAAAAACCCAAAACTGTGTTTTCTCCCTGTGTGCCTTAAATTCATGAAAATGTCAAGATGGAAATGTGGACATTTAAGGACTCTGGTTTTCTTCATAGAAACACCCAATTCCCATAAGTTTGTGTGGGAATGGATGGTCATATGCCTACTGAGCTTCAAAATGATGGAAGATAGTCTTTCTGTGAGGGTTATGAGAGTATGCAAATATAGCAAGAGTAGTAGATAATGCTTAAGGAAATTACCAATTTTTTTTTTTTTAATTAAGGGAAATTATGTATGAAATTAGCTTTCTATCACTAGGTCTTCTGATTAATTTATCCACTTCTACTGATAAATTTATAGTGTCAATGCTCCTGATTGTTCAAGAGTCAGTCATTAGAATAGTGGTAATTAACATTGACAGCTTGTATATCTTGTTTGTATTTCTTGAGCTGCTTACAGTATCCTTTTCCATCCTGACTGTGGCTCTCCAGATTCTTATTTATCCAAAGTCTTAAGCTGTTTCTCTAAACTTTTTTTAACAGTCACTGCCAGTCTGGTACTGTGCATCCTTAAAACAGTTCCTTGCAAACTTATGTTAGAGTTTATTTGAAGTGGAGGTTCTTAGTGATACGGCTTATGATGCTCCTTTTCTTACGTACTGCTCAGCAATAATGTCATGTTAACATTTACAAGATCAGTTGTATTTTTAATAATATTTCATATTAGGTTCTGTAGTAAGCAAAGAAGGATTCATCCTTTGTGGGAAGTCCCATGTGTTGTAGACTAGTGAGTTCTGATCAAACTGGGAGGTGTAATTTCTTCCCCAGTGTAAAAATGCTTAAGTGTCAAAGAAGAAAAAAAAACAATTATAAGTCAAAGAAAATGCATGCTACGTCATCTGGCCAATGGGGGAAAAATATTTGATAGTGACTGTAAAGGCAATATCTCAATGTGTTACTTGGAAGTATTTTTTTAAAATAACTTTTAAGTTTTATTTAAAGCTTTTTTTAATAAATGTATTTATTTTTAAGTAAAGTTATTTTAAATAGCTGTGAGTTACACTAGAGAAGATATGCAAATCTGTACAATCTTCTACTGTTCATAATGGGGAGTCCATGAAATGGCAGTACACAGAATCCACAAGCTGGGGAGGAACACCAGGTGGGTGTATTTGGTCCTCTGGCAGAATATCCTGGCTGATCAAACCCCACTGTGCCCGCGATGCAGAACGTATGACATTTGAGGGTAGGGTTAGCTGCAGTGGCTGTTGTTTTTGAACGTGCTGTCCAGTTACCCTGTGATTGCTCTTTGTGGTGCATACCCAAAGTGAAGTTATCCCAAGCCTTCCCCTCACTTTCTTTTCTTCCAACAGATAATTGTAGGAGTTCTTCTGCTCTATTACCTTCTTGGAATCAGTGCCTTAATTGGAGCAGCAGTAATCATAATCCTTGCACCTGTTCAGTACTTTGTAGCAACAAAACTCTCACAGGCCCAGAGAAGCACATTGGTGAGTGTCTTCAAACTTGGTACATGATATAAATATCACCTCTGGTAATTATGCATTGGTCTGTGTTTGGAATTACAAAGCTAACTGTGGACATTGACCAAGAACTGATTCTCAGACATTGGTAACATACAGGAATGTCAAGTTCAAGAGTGTGAAAGCATGATAAGCGTGAACAGTAAAGATGCAGGTTTTGGGGTTTATATTTTTCAACAAGTATGTGTTTCCCTAAGAGCAAAAAAACTTAAGGTCTTTCTAACTTGCAAATGAAAATGGTCAGTAATCATTGACTGAAATGGCTTTGTGCAGCCAGATGGTGCACAAATAAATGAATCATGCAGGGCAAGCTGTCCAAGGGGAAAGGAAGTGGGAATGCTGGACCCAAACTCAGACCCCAGATACATCATAGCTGTGTTAATCTATCAAAGTGATTTATTTAAATAAGCTATGGACAGTCCTAACTCCCACAGCATGCTCCTCAACTGGGGAGCTTAGAGGTCTGCTCAGTCTCAAGCTGTTCCTTGGTCCCTCACTTGGCTTGTCTATAATTTCAATTGCCTGCATCACTGCTGAGGAAGTTACCTTGGTTCATTGGAATTACCATGTCCAGCTGCTCTGAACCTTATCCCCACTTTCAGCGACTGTTGCACTGCCAAGGAAGCCATATGAACCTGTAATGGAGCCAGACAGCTTGCTGAAATGTCTTCTACCACAAATCATGGGTGGTAATGAGAGTTATTTGTGCACCTTCCTGTGTGAAAAGTAATGCCTTCACATCAACAGTATACACCCTTCTGGAAATGTAGACAGTATTCATCCCCATAGCATCCAGTCAGTCAGCAGACAGTCAGCATCACCTAGAAATTCCTGCAAACGGTAGCAGCGCATTGTGTGCTAGAAATGTCTCCGCTGTGCAATGTAGCGTGGTACAAAGATCCTTGAGCTAGCCTGAAGACTGGAAGCGGCATAACTGCCAGTTACGCTTTACTGGGAGTATAACTTTACCAGTGTATTATTGCGCCTGAGCCAGCTAGCCCTGCTCAGAGTCAAGGTTCCCTACAGGATCACAGCTTCTTGCTAATGAGGACTTGCTGCTTTGAAGCCTGACGCGGTTGTTTCCGTATCGTGTTGATTGGGCAGAGCGGTGTGCCCAGTCGTAGCTTGCTGACGTGTTCTGATCTCCTCTGTATGTTGCCAGTGTGCCTATTGAAAATCCAGCCACTGTGCTGGGCAGTAGAAGTCATGAGAGGCTGCCTTGCAAGTAATCAGAAAGCTGAGAGAGGAGTAAAATGTTCAGCACAAGCTATACGATTTAGGAGTGCAAACCAACGGCCTTTTCACTTGAGCTCTAGGGAAGCTCACCTTCGTGAAAAACAGCAACAAAACATCTGAATGGACAGAACTAGTAAAGTATACCTGACCGATTACAAGACGTTGCATAAAATTTTTGTGTGATCCTTATGTTTAGGGGACAGGTGCTTTAATCATACTCTTTAAGTAAATGCGTATGTAAATGTTGCAGGAGTACTCCAATGAGAGACTGAAGAAGACAAATGAGATGCTGCGAGGCATTAAGCTCCTTAAACTCTATGCTTGGGAACACATCTTTCACAGCAGCGTAGAGGAAACCAGACAAAAAGAAATGACTAGCCTCAAGTCTTTTGCCCTTTATACTTCCATATCCAGTAAGTCTCTTCCTTCATTCTAATCCACTGTTCAGCTGAAGTGCCTACTGCATTATTAGCTGCTAATGAGTTTACCATTTCTCTGTTGAGATTGTTTTGGTTGCTTTAGGCTCTGATCTGTACTCCTCGCTTTTCATTTAGTCAGACTTTCCATTTAATTCAGTAGAATTTTGCCTGTATGGGAAATATGCCTAAAAGAGAAAGTCAAGATTAATGCTTCATAGCATTAACTTTTCTGGAAAAAAGCTTTTAAGGGCCAAGTGTTTCACAGGCTACCTTCAGCCAGCAATATTCTCCTCTATAAGACAGCACTCAGGAAGAAGCCTTTGTTGATGTACAGGGTGGGTTGGTTTTGTTTTTTTTTCCCTCCTGTATTTTGCACAATACAGTGTATCATAATATGTGACAGGAATTGTCTTTGCATTGAAGCTCCAGCAGATGGTACTTACATTTTCTTACTCAAAATTTGGATTTCTTGTAAAAATAAGTGATTCTTAAGACTATTTCTATATCCTGGAAAGGAAAAAGATGAGAATCCTGGCAATTTCATCATTCCATATCCAGATTCGTTTGTCTCATGTTATCTTTCAAGCTACTTTAAGGCATTTCTCATCCTTTTAAAAAGACCTAGGGCCAACTGAACTCTGTATTTGAGGAGATCATATGCAACACCTATATAATTGCTACTGTAATACTTCAGAAATAATTAGTAAAGTCATACTGAAGAACGCTGTTCAAATATTCTGTAAGATGTTAATAAAATGGAAACTTTTAGTGAGAAGTATTCAAATGCCACAAGTGACCTGTACAAATACCTTCTAGACTAATAAGGAAGACTACACCTTAGGGAAAATAACTTCCAGTCTGGTTAGTATTATTTGATTTCGTTTGCCCAAGAGACATGCAGCTGACTTTCTTCCTTGCCAAATGATCACATAGATAATGCACTCTGAGGGAAAGATCCTGATCCCACTGAATTTAACTGACATTAAGTGCAGGTTTTCCTTGACTTCTGAGACTAGAATTTCTCTCTGGGGATCCTGAGCTCTCTGGGCTTTGAGAGTAGTTTCCATTTTGACATAAAACAGAATTTAGCTGGAGTAGATTGTGTGATCGGAAACTCCGTCCTACACCCAGATCAACACAGATGGGCTCCCTGTGTTTGCACTGCTTCATGTGACATTAAAATCTATTTATAGTCAGAGCCACAGGTACAGCTGTAGGACTGAAGGAGCTGTGCAGGCTTATTTGATTTTAAGTCCTCACAGTATCATATATAACAGCTAGGAAAAGGTGTATTCATCCCAAGAGTACTGACTATTCTGTGAAGAAATAGTGACATAAATAAGAAGACGTATTATTAAAAAGAATTCTAAGTATTTACTGATGCTTCTTGAAATATTCAGTGTTTGCATTCTTGTTTTGTATTATGTGTGATATTTATGTGTATGTAAGACACAGTAGATCAGTTTCTCAGCTGGGGTAAACCATCACAGCTTTTTTTATGTTGATGCTGCATATCATTTTGGCTTATCAAGAGTTCCTGTAGTTTCAGCCTAGAAGTTCCTTACAACCTCTGCCTTCAGCAGAAATTACACTCATCTATACAAACTTGTACTTTAGTAGACTGAAAAGAGAACATAGATATAGGAGAACTTGCCTTTTTTCTTACCATAAGTATAATTAGAATGACAGGTATAATCAGCACAAAGCGTGTTTGTTAATATTACAGTGATCATATGATTTAATTTTTTTAAGAAAGAAAAAAAAAAAGAATGAAAAAGGCAGGACATGACTAAGATTTTATGTATTATTGATCAAGAGGAAGGCAGACACTTCCTAGAACAATAAGAAACCAGAAATTATACTTTTATATATACTTCTTTTTAGCATACAGTTTTGAATAGACTCTGGAATTCTTTTCTAAATAAACTTAGCTCTTAACATGAATGAATGAATGTGGTTGGAGCTACTTCTGTTCATGAGGAATAGATTTACATTGCATTACAGAAAATATACCTACAAGTTTCAGGGCAGTGTTGGCTAGGCCACAAGAAAAATCCATTTCAAGACCGCATGGAAATTGGATCTCATCTGCCTCACCCCTGTGCCTGGATCCAGTTTGTATGTATATGGAATTGTTCACGTGTACTGAAAGAGCTATTATAGAAATTACCTCTTCCTATAATTGTAATGAAATGTACCCACCAGAATCAAAGCTGGGTTGCAAAGTTGGTAGTGACGCCTTTTGAGTTTTGGCAGTGAATTCTTTAACTGTAGCAAAGAAGATTCTGACATAATATTTTTCATACTGATTAGTAAGATTATCCTGTGTTTGGTTTTACAGGATTTAATATACACTGTATATTCAGGAACGACAGAGAAAGGAAGGGGTGGTTTTCCTACTTCTATGAATTTTTGCCTCATCTGTCACAAGCAAAGTAACTCCAGTCTTTTTCACAGGAAAATAACAGTAGTTACTGTCCTAAAACATTCAGAAATTACTGAAAACATTTTTCCCAGTTTTCAGACTGCCTTTTTCAAGTAACAAAGTACTTCTGACTGAATCTAATTAGACCAAAAGCCTTAGCTGCAAAATAAAATTATCCCAGAAAACCGTTTATTATTCTGGACACTTGCATAATTGAAAAAATAAAAATAATAAACACCCTTCCCCTCCCTCCCCCAAATTCCAGTGATTCAGTAAGCCCGTATTTGTTTGCTTGAAAGATGATGTTTGAAGTGAAGTCCTTGGATGTACTTGTGATCTCACATAATAGCAAAATTCAGATCGACTTCTTGGGACCCAACAAGTGACCCTAGTTGTCTTAATGGCAGCAGGCTTTGCCAACCCTATGGTATATTTAATCCATCCAGCTGCATATTTGCCAGGTATGATCTCATACTGTAGACAGCAGAAGAGCAGGTTCCATCTCTGAGAAGTTCATCAGCTTTGCTAGATTCCCTCATCAGATTGATTCATAAAAGTAAACTGCAGCAGTCTCAAAGGCAAATTGTGAATGCAAGGATTTAATAGAATTAAAAAGTCCGTAGTTGCAGGCAGCAAGTTTCCCTTTTTCAAAATTTCTATGCCATAACTACCTCAAGTTTATACAAAGTGTGAAAACTGGGCAGGAAGTAGAATCATTAGGAGAAATGAGTCTGAACTGAAGCTGGTTTGTATTTCAACACAGAAAAGAACATTTGCCTCAGAAAAAGTTGTTGGGTCACGTGTGTGTCGTCCCCCCCGGGTGAGAAGTAAACTGTGAAATTCTAGGTTTTAATACATGTTAGTCTTTCAAAGACTAAGCTTTTATTTTGGAATTACATACACAAACATACCTATATTTTCAAATACTCCCCTCTGTCAAGGAATTAGAGCTATGTGAAATAACACAGCTATTTTATTTAAGCTTGAGTACAGAGTTTACAAGTATGTTACAGGATTCAATAAAGGTCATCTAAATGTAGGAAAAAGGAACATCTGACAGTATGTTAAGTTCTTCAGGGGGTTTATGCCCAGAAAAGGATGGTCAAACAGTCAGCCAGAAGTATTTGTGGGTCAAATGATGACGCTCCACTTCAGGTGAAGTAACTGGGGAGTGCTTTTACTGTCTGAACATTGGCTATACCTGGTAGGAAAAAAGGACAGGCATAGTTTAAACAAAAAAGAAGTGGCTACCTTCTTTCTTTTCTATTACACATGTGCTGATCTTGAATTCTATTTTAGCTATAGATTCTATATTCTTTCTGTGTATTGTTTACTTCATGAAATAAAGTTGAGCGAAGGTCAAAATGTAAAGGTGATGATTAAACAGTATTCTCAGGTTGCAATAGAGGGGACAGGCGTGTGGGGTAAGAACATAACTCTGGTTCTGACTCAAGCTCCGAGACAGATAACTTGTTGTTATTGCATTCTTAACCCATATTCCTGCGCAATCTAAGAGAGATCTCTGTACAGAAATGGTATTTGCTTGCTTCTCCCCATCTATCTGTTTAATAACCTCTGAATGCATGTATGAGTTGCTATAGTGAGGGAATCTGGGGCACCAAGACAGACACTGAGGTCAGGGAGGAAGCTGGTTCATTGTTTGCATTTTAAAAACTCAAGGCCCAGCTGAAATCAAAGCTCTACTGCATTTAGGTACCACTAGAACCTGTATCAAGCTCCCGAGGACATTCACAAAGTAGCCAAGCCTGACAAAGCAGGGGTAATTATGAGTAAATCCTCCATAAGAATAAACTAAGTCAACGTTACAGTGCAGGGTTCCCAATCTTTCCTTACCATTTGAACCTGCATCCCGAAACCTGAGGGGGCCACAAAGCCCCGCACCTCAGAAGTGGTGGCCCAGAAGTAGGCGACAACTTGATGTACGTGCCAGTGGCTCTCCGCGGAGGTGGTGCCGCTGGGCTGCGGGATGGGGCAGAGCCAGGCGTGCAGCCAGCCTGCGGGGCAGTCCCAGCGCTGTGACCTGTGCAGCCTCTGCTGGGTCTCCTTTCCTCTCGCTGTCAGGTACTCAAGTCGCCCGCCAGACCTTGTGCCAGCTCGGCCTTTCTGCCTGTCGTGAGACGGAGACCTGCAGCGGCCCTTGGCTGAACTGCGTGTGAGCTGATCGCAGCTCAAAAGCAGATTAGTCATCTTTTTCTAGGGTGCGTTGCTGGGTTCTGTCTGTTCTGATGCCGTGAAGGGAAGTAAACTCTAGGCATTTTAAAACAATGTACTGATGTGTGTAGATAGCTGCGCATTTCTCCTATCTTAAGCTTAGAAAATACCATTGTAAACCAGTGCTAGTAGTATTTTAACATTTAGCATGCCTGAATGGAAATTGTTTCTAAATGTTCCTACATGTTTTCCTTCACAGTCTTTATGAATGCAGCAATACCAATTGCAGCTGTACTTATAGTAAGTATGGACTTTTCTAAGTAGTGTTAATTACAACTGCATTTTCAAGTACAAGTGATGTGGAAATGAGGGAGGAGGAGGACAGGATGCAAACCTGCTACACAGTTGCAACTCCTCTGGGAGAGAATGGAAAATGCCCACTTGTTGCCTGTGACCAGAAGCAGCCCAGAGTATGCAACACTCCCCCAAACTGTTAAGATAGTATAAATTAAGATTCTGTAAATGAAATGCTTATGAAATATGAAGTCTTTTTGTGTTTCTTTATGACAAAACGGTGATGATGATGTCTGTCTCTTTGTAGACATTCGTGGTCCATGCTCATCTGACAAGAAAGGCTGACTTCTCCCCATCTGTGGCATTTGCCTCTATCTCCCTGTTTCATATTCTTGTGTCTCCGTTGTTCCTGCTCTCCAGCGTGGTTAGATCCACTGTCAAAGCATTAGTAAGGTGAGAACTGTAAAATTAATATCTTTGCGAACACCTCTCTAACTTTCGAGGATGTGTCTATTGCTCATTTTCCAATTGTAAGTTTAGAAATAGTGTGGTGATTATGCATCTGTTGTTATAAATTGCTTCCCAACTTTTTATCTTGCATGGTTCCCTTGGTTGTAGTATGTGGGCCAAGTTCTTTGCTGATACAATTGTCACAACCAATATTTTGTGGTCCACAGCTAGTACTTCATTGTGTGGAATGGGTTGAGCTCTATTGGTACTGCATGCAACATATATGTGGTAACAAGAAAAGAAGTAAAAACTTACTGAAGATGTAGTTTTGTAAATCACCCAAATATTTCCCTCCATCAAGCATGTAGAGGGAAAAAGGTAATCACAGAAGCACGTGTGTTTAAGCGTGTACCTTGGCTGTGCTCAGCCTCCACCCCTCTGCCTGAGAGGTTGCCTGTTGGTGGAGAGTTAGACTTAGACAAAAAAAACCATAAAAATCACCGTTAAGTGTGAGAGTAAGTTAATGACTAAATGTCTACTCCAGACTTGATGAATTTTCACTTTATGAACGTGTTAGTCCGAGTGTTCAAAAACTGAAATAACAACCAGTAGAACTGCTGTTTCATTGGGAGTTTTACTTTGAGTATCAACAGATTTGTGTACAATCCTCTTGATGCTTTTCGTATGCGGTGTAACTCTACCTGTCTGATAGGGGAGGAAGAGAGAGTTTGGGTTTCTTACTTTATTAGGACCTCTTTGTGACCTCCAGTATAGCTGTCTTAAGAGCTTGTCTAAACTATGGGACAGATACTGGATGTCAGCCCTTGCTTAATTGCCTTTGTGTCACTTTAGAGATGGAAGGGAGACTACAGCAGGAGGCTGAGATTGCCCTTGCTGTTTCAAAATTCCCTGACAGTGCAAAGTCACAGCTGTGTCCTCTCTCCTAACAAGTGTGAGATCTGAGAGCATCAGCAGCTGGCATGAAATGTTTTGCAGCCACAGTGGTAGTCCCTAGAGTCATGGCAAATTGTCATACTAAGATTGCAGCCAGCAAAGTATCTGGGGGCTCACACTGGCACTGGTAATGGGCATTTATTTTGCCTTGTCTAAGGATTTCTTTGTGAATGAATTGTGTGCCTGTTAATGCTGCAGGAACAATTCTAAAGCAATTAGTATCAACCAAGTATTAATCGTTGCTAGCTGGGAGTTCTTCATGAGTTATTCTGTAGTTATCTTCTTGTTAGCAGGCTATTGCCCTGCCATTTGTAGTGCAGATAGGAATCCCCTGGTTCAAACTCTGTAACAAAGTTGATGTGATCCTTGCCTTCCTGGCTGGCTGTATCACAGTAACCCAGGTAGTGTTCCAGAGTGCATTGCTCCATAGTGCTGCTGGTGCTACTCTAGATGTGTCTTCAAGTACCCCATCCTTCAGTGCCATACTTTGGAAGCAAGTGCCAGATATTTTCAACCCATGCAAACGCATGCTTGCTGAAAGAGTTTGGTAAATGTGAAAAAGCAGAAAGTTATTAGAAAGCTCTGTGTGTGTCAAGTGAGCACAACTAATGTTTCCTTGCTATAACTGTGTCCTGCTGTTACACCTTCCTGCTAGTAAGTAGCTGATGAGTAAGATCAGGTAAAGGTAACCTAATAAACCTTGATAAAGTTGCACTTCAGCTTTCTTTAGGCTGAGATATTCTAACTGGTTTTAGCAAGGGTACAAGACAGCTTCTCTTGTAGAGACAGAAAGGAACTAAGTGAAGCAGAAGATGATCCTGCAGTGGAACCAGCATGTAAAGAAAGGATACTGAGCTGATGTTACTGGCTTTGCATCTCAGGCACTTCACAACCCCTCCTCTGTTAATATTGGCTACTGTCTCTGATGCCAGATGCTATTAAGGACAATAATATCCACAAATCAACGTGTCAATATCTTTAATCATTACATATGTGCCCAATTGTAAAGCATCCTCATGGATTGTCATTGACACTATCAGAACAACTGTGTAATTGATTCCAATGGTAAAACGGATTTAAAGGTTCTGTTCCACATAGCGCCCCTGCAAACTTTCCAAGTTATGGGGCTAGGGTGTTTGCTTTGGAGGGGGGAAACTGTTGAAAGTCTTTAGGAAGGTCAGAAATTCTGTTACTTCTTTAAATTTATTTTTTTTTAATGTGTAGAGCGTGTGTGCCAGTGAAAATTAAAACTGAATAGCCAATTGATGTATTTCTTAAATGTGAGGTCTTCAAGGACAAAGGGTACAGTGTACAATTTTCCATCAGCAAAGGTCAAGTGTCTAGAGTGGCATTATGTATCTTACTGGGTTTAATATGAAACTGCTTTTTGAGTCAGCTGTGCAAATAACCATGTTTTAATCAATGCGTCTATTCTGTGGCTTAAAAATAAGCTCCCCCATGGAGATACTGGAATACTAGTGAAACTGCAATGTCAGCGAGAGCTCTGCAGAGCACGTACTTTTTGTATTCTTTAAGAGTGTAGAATGGTGTGGCATCCTGAAATATGAGTTGCTATATAAGTTGCTGCCTCTAACAAAAGATTTTCTCACAGCTATACTGTGTTTCCTCAGTAATTGCCACAGGAGCAGCAATTCCAGAGTCAAGCAGAGCATTGGGCAGAGGGCTTGCAGAGAGAAGTCTTGGCCACCTTGGTACACAACCAGAGGGCAAAGAGCAAAAATCAAACTATTGAATGGCTTCATAGAGGCATAGTCTTGTTTGGGCATGCATGGTCCAAGAATATGTTTGCTGTCTTCTCTTCCTTCCCCTCTAGACCCTGGAGCAGATACACAGGGGCCTTCTCTATCTGCTCTTTATGTCTTCAGAGCTCTTTATGTCTTTACATCTTCAGATCTTTATATCTTCAAATGTCAGTGTAATTTTCCTATAGAGAATGTAGGTGCAGCTGCATACCAACTCCATATAGGCAGTGTCTAACCCGTCATTTGGTCCACTCGAAGACATTTAAAATGGTCTTTTAAACATCTGATTCACTGAACAAAAAAAGGTAAGATCATTCCTAGCCCTGTTTTCCAGAGCTTTGTGCAAATAGATATAGTTATCTCTAGTGATGGTGCTTTTAATTTCTTCCTTTGAGATAATAGACCTTCCCATTAAGGAATTTTGGTCCAACATTGAGCTTGAATTAGTTACTACTCCTCTTGTCCCATCCCAAATAGTTATTCTCCCCCTTTTCAGTTGCTTAGATTGCAGTACCTGCTCTAGCTAAATTCACCCCGCCGTACATCTCTTACTGTCCTCAGCTGCCATTAGCAAGTGGGCAGGTTGACAGAACAGCTGTAGAACCAGTTCTCTCCTAGGGATGCCCCAGGTGGCTTCAATCTCTACTTGCAGGACAAGTACTAACTGTACAGGGAGTCTGCCTTAGGGAGTCTGCCTTAGGCAGTCCTGTGCTGCCTTGGTCCAAGCACTCTTTTAGCACCAGTGGGGTATCTCATGAGGTTCTTAGAGGAAACTAAGTCTCCTTTTGAAGAAGAAATCCCTGGCAGTGGAATGCAAAATAAATGCTGGGGGGTTTATTTTTATTTTTTAAGATTTGCATACTAACAGATAGTCACGTATCACTATGCTACAGTGGCATCATTTGCCTGTTTCTTCCCAATTAGCCTAAGGCTAAATATTGAAATAATTTTTTTCAATCCTTGTCCATAAATTTATGTTTAGGAACTTAAGGCCTTCTGGCACTTTATCATTTTGGAGACTGATAGTTAACTTATTTCCAGCTAATTGAGCTCCTTTGATGTTGAGTTCATGATTCGGTCCACTTCCTTTACAAATTTCATTTGCTGTCCCTGTTAGTAGATTAGACATACATTTTACAAAGTCAGGTACAGGGACAAAATTGATGTCATGATCTGTTCAATGTCATAATAAAGGCACATTATCTCTTAGCTAATTAAATCTTAAGCAGCTTGGGAAGATTTTATGCCTTCTCCTTTGTTGCTGCTTGTCAGGATTCCTTTTATATCTCATCTATTGAACACTGTTCTGTTAAGGTATATTGCTTTATCATGTTACCTCATACACTTTGTATTTCATCATAGCTGGTTGAATTTAGCTCACGGTGTACGGATTTCATCAGACTGCTAGTGTTCATAAGACTCTTCAGTGGAACTGACAGTGCAACACTTCAGTAATATAAATGACATTAATTCTACTTCAGCATGTGGCTTCAAAACAAGCTAATGCTGTAGCTGGTCTGCATCCCACCAAGTGCCTGAAAAAATCTTTTGTGTAATCTCCCTGGTGGTATCAGAAAATACAAGACTTGAGAAGCATCTGCACAAACCATTAAAATGTCGTAGCTGTTAACAGACAACAGGGTGGGTTTTGTCAGCTTCCTTGCAGTAACTTCTCATTGCATATTTTCATATGCCTGTAACAAAATGAAAACAAACAAACTATGCAGCAGACAGTGGTTGAAATACTAAAAGGGATGCTCTATAATAAACGTGGCAGTGAACAAAAGTTTTGCATTCCAGGTTGAGGTGTGATTCTGTTTTTTCCCTTTCAGTGTGCAGAAACTGAGTGAATTCCTGTCAAGTGAAGAAATTGGAGAAGAGCATGATAAATCTTCAGAGCTAGGAAGTGCAGATAATCACAGCAAATACCAGGCAGTGGTGAGTAATGCTGTTTAATTGCAGGTGAAGTGGCTGGAGTAATTTGTACCCTGTTGTGGTTTAACGCCAGCCAGCAACTAAGCACCACGCAGCCGCATGCTCACTCCCCCTGCCCCAGTGGGATGGGGGAGAGAATCGGAGGAGTAAGAGTGAGAAACACTCCTGGGTTGAGATAAGAACAGTTTAACAATTGAAATAAAATAAAGTACAATAGTAGTAGTAATAATAACAATATAATAATAACAGTAACAATAATATACAAAGCAAGTGATGCATGATGCAATTGCTTACCACCCACCGACTGATACCCAGACAGTTCCCGAGCAGCGATTGCTGCTCCCCGGCCAAAACCCCCCCCCCCCCACTGTTTAACATACA